CGGTTTTTCTTTGTCGTTTTTGCTGAATTTTTAGTAGTGTAACTTTTTGGCGGTAGAGCTGGAGTTGACTTAAATCTCGTTTGGATTGGCTTAAAAAAAGTAATTTTTTAGCAGAAATAACTTTAAGCCAAAAATCAATAAGTTGGGTTGCCCAACTTACTTCTTTTGACTTGTTTTAAGCAATTTTAAATTTATTTTAAGTATTTTTTAACTTTGTCAAACACTAAAAAAAGCTAGAAAAAATTTAAAAATTGATTTGACCAGCTAAAAAGCCAATCCAACATCCTTTTAGTAGTCAAAATCAAGAAGCTAAGGTCAAAGTCAGAACAAACAGATTTTCAAAACCCAAACTTATGTTTTACTTTACTCGTATTTCGACTCAAATTACGTTTACTAATTAGCTTTGGAGGAAGAAAATTTTGATTGCTTTGTCTATACTTTAAATTACTTGCAACCCAAGAAAATCTTATTGGAGACCAACACATACTAGTACCTCAGTCAATTCTTTTGCATGTAGCAGAAGTTTAGTTTTTTATAATATTAGGGAAATTTAACATGTGATACCAAATATGTTAAGGGGTCGTTTGGTACAAGGTATAAGAAGGTATAAGAATGATATAAAAATTTAATACCATATTAATATTTTGTTTGGTTAGCAAATCAGATATAAGTTATCCCGGTGTTAATTTTAATATTGGGATAACTTATACCTTATAGAAGGTGGGAGTAATTAGCACCGGTATAACTTATCCATTCTTCATAGAAATTATGCAATTGTCATTCTTAATACAACATACCAAACAATGAATAAACAACAATCTCAGCATAACTTATCCCAATATAATTTATACCGACATAGCTTATACCGATATAAATCATATTCCAACCAAACGACTCCTTAGTTAATTATATTTACCATCATGTTATCATAAAAGTTTATTTGTATTACCTTACAAGTGCCTCGATCATGTAATTTTTTTTATTATTAGCGTATAAAAGTAAATTTTAATCCATAAATATTTCATTTGAAAAAACTAAAAAAGCTTGCATTTTTTCTTGCGGAAATACTGGAAATCAAAGAAAGTAGGAAACTTTACTTTCATACATGCATATGCTTGAAAGAACGAAAAAAAAAAAGGACAGCTTAAGGGTGTGTTTGGTATAACGGAAAATATTTTCTTAGAAAATAAGTAGTAATCTTATTTATTTTCTGGTGTTTGGTACGCAAATTAAGGAAATGACTTTTGAAGAGTATTCATAAATAATTTAGATGTAAAAAATATGAAGCCATAAACTTTCAAATCAACAACCTTCCGGATCCACAAATTTCATAAACTTTCAAACCGCTAAACTTTCAAAATCGCGGAATTTCGAACCCGTAAANATTTTCCTCCAATTAGTTCATAAGGAAAATATTTTCCAAAACATTTAAGCCAACCAAACATGGAAAAATTGAAAAAAAAATTCCGAAAAATATTTTCCTTCGTACCAAACACACTCTAAAAGGCTTTCTACCACTTCATTATCTCTTACTACTACAATTTTTGAATTTAAGTAATATGTACTAACAATTTAATAATGTTTTACGACATTCATACAATTTAACCGATTGTTATTCTTTAGGTTATGATATTGGGCTTGCTACAAAGAATAGTTGTTGTTGTAAGGTCAATTTAATTTGATGATGTAAAAAATTTATACACCGTCAATGTACGAAATCAGAACTCGTATTTCAATTATTAGCAACTATTTACAAACATACTTCCATTAGTCCTTACTAGGACTATGCATAATTTGGTAAATAAGGAATTATTATACCAAAATTAAAAATTCTGGTATCTGGTATTCAATATTTTGATATTTGGTTTAAGTTCTTTAAAAAATTTGGTATTAGGTATAGTATATGATATTTGCAAAAATAATACCGAAATATCAATGTTGTATCGAAATATATAATAGTAATAATAATAATAACAATAATAATAATAATAATAATAATAATAATAATAATAATAATAATAATAATAATAATAATAATAATACAATACACATACTATTGATTATAACATACTAAGTTACATAACACTTTTCTTTGGTATGCATGTTGTTTAGGAAAATGGAGGAACGGGTAGGTTGCAGATTTTGATTCTTATTCTCTAGGATGCCACTGGGTTGTTGTTGTTGTTGTTGTTGTATTCTCTAGGATGCCAAGCATCTTAACGTAATACTTTAACGGTTTTGGGATTTTTTTTCTCAAATATTGAATTGCATTTGAAGGATTAGTACTTGCCGTATTCGGGGGAAGTGCACGGTTAGCCACTAATAACACATGTATTTACTTTGAAGCCACTGTTTAAAATATTTTTAGTCTTTAGCCACTGCTTTAATAAACTTTACCTACGCGGACGAAAACACCCTTTTGCTCATAAAGTTCAGGACCAAGTATCCATAATTTTTGAACTTGCAACTCTAAGTTTAGGACTTCAGGACTACATGTCCTTAAATTTTGAACTTGCAACTTTAAGTTCACGACTTCAGGACTACATGTCCTTAACTTTTGAACTTGGAACTCGAAGTTCTGGACCACCTGTCATTAAGTTCTGTGCTTGTAACTCTAAGTTAAGTAGTCCTTAACTTTTAAACTTGTAAGTCTAAGTTTAGGACCTATTGTCCTTAACTTTTGAGTTTGTTAGTCTAAGTTTAGGACCAATTGTCCTTAACTTTTGAACTTGTAACTGTAAATTCAGGACCAAGTGTCCTTAACTTTTGAGCTTGTTAGTCTAAGTTCAGGACCTATTTTGGGCTTGTTAGTCTACGTTCAGGACATATTTTCTTTAACTTTTGAGCTTGTTAGTCTAAGTTCAGGACTTCATGACCTATTGTCCTTAACTTTTGAGCCTGCTAGTCTAAGTTCAGGACTTCATGACCTATTGTCCTTAACTTTTGAACTTGCAACTAAAAGTCCATGATCTATTGTCCTTAACTTTTGAGCCTGCTAGTCTAAGTTCAGGGAGTCCTTAACTTTTGAACTTGTAATTCTAAGTTCAGGACCAAGTGTCCTTAACTTTTGAAACTGGAACTCGAAGTTAAGGACCAAATGTTCTTAACTTTTGAACTTAAATACAGATATTTCAAATATTTTATCCTTTTCTGATAATTCACTTTTTTCTTCCGTTTTGACTAAAGGTTTACCCAATTTAAAAACCATAACACGTAAAAGTCAAAAGAGAAGGAGAATTAAAAAGATGATCATGACTTAACACCTAATTCCCTCTCCATAGGATCTCAAGGCATAATAGGTATAGTAGTAGTAGCAGTAGGCTCAGTAGAAAAAAATACAGTGAATTTCTATTGCTTATATGCAGTGTTCGAGGTGTAGGCCTTGTATTTTTCTTTGACTCAATCTCCCATTCTCCATTAACTACATACTCTGGCATAGCTTTTCTGAGATCATAAAAAAAGAGTCACTTTTCAACGACAAAGACAAAGCAAAATATACAGGAAGAAGACTATAAAGAAAAAGAAAGAAAATGGAGGTTGAGAATGGAAGAAGAATGTGCAGAGAGAATAGCCTAGAAAGAATATGCAGAGAGAATAGCACAGAAAGAGATTCTGAAAATGGCGTATCTATCCAACCTGTGATACCACTGTATTTCCGTTTGGGAAGGAAAGGGTAACAACGTCCTTTCATATTAATTTTAATAAACTAGTGGCTACTTTTGCTTAGCATTAAAAATGCTGGATAAAAAGTAAATACCACTTTAAATAGTGGCTACCCCATACAATTTTTACGCCGTATTCTCTAACTTCAGCAATTAACTCTAAGCAAGTAACAAGACATTTTTAATGATTATATTTATTCCTTTATGTACCTTTTTCTCTCTGTGGGTTGATACAAGCTGATTTTGGACAAAATTTTTGTCAATAGTCAAGTGAGCTTCGAACATTTTTATTTTTTTTATTTGTGAGTACTTTAATTAAGAATATTACACTCTATAGCTTCATGCACTAGTTAATATTAAACCGAACAAATCGAAGTTACCGTTCCGAATAAAGCGAAATCGAAAAGAGAAAAGCTGAACCATACTGAATATAATTAGGTACAGTATTGGTATAACATTTTAAGAAATCGAATATCGAAAATATCGAATCGAAATATTTTAAATACCATGTCGTACAGACTGACGAACACCTCTGGTCAAAATGTTTCAAGAAAATTCATTTACAAAATTTGATTCCAGTTGGTTTGAGCCTTTGAATAACATTAGTTGGGGCAATTGGGACCAACAGCCAACTGGACTTGTCAGATCTATTCTAATATTCTATTGTAAACTTGAATTAGCTATTCACTTTTTGGACCATCTTTGGAAAATAGCCCGTGTTTAGAAATTTATTGAAAAGTAGCCACTTTTAATGTGGATACACTGTGACATTGTTAGGGAGTTTTCACTTTTTTGAAGTTCGAAATTCATGACTCTGTCATGGATTCAAAAAATTGGCTATATTTCAATTACAAGTCCGGTAAATGGGGTGAAATTTAAAAATAGCCAGATTTACAAGTGGTAATTGAAAAATAGCCACAGTTTCAAAAGTAATCAAAATTTAGACATGTAAAGATAAATCTGAACAAAAACACTGTTCAAAATTCAAAAAATATTCCAGCATAATATACTGGAGTTCAAATTTTTTACATGTGAACTTCCAGCATGATATGCTGAAAGTTATATACAAGTGTTCAAATCTCCAGTATATTATGCTGGAACTTTTCGTATTGCAGCAAAATAATGACTATTTTTTGATAATGCTGGCTATTTTTCAATTACTAGCCCGTGCGATTTTAACAGAAAATAGCTACTTTTTAACTTTGGGTCCAACTCTATTGAAAGGCCTGAAGTTAAAGCCTAACTCTTTTAATGGGCCGATCTTAGCCCAGTTATGGGTTAAATTGCCCAATCAAATACCTAATAAAATCTCAAATTCCTTATATTCCCCAAAAGGAAAACACTTGTCCTAAACTTCGAAAGATTCTTCCTTTAAAGAATCTCCCAATTACTTGCCAAATTTCCCAAAAACTCTGTCATAGTTCTAACTCTAGCCATTTCCACTCTAGGGTTTTTGGATATTACGAGGTAGCCATTGAAGCAATGGTGAAGGAGGAGGATAGCAAAACTTTGGAGCTGTTCTTGAAAATTGGATTAGATGAAAAGACTGCCAAAAATACTTTGGCGAACAATAAAGTCACCACTAATCTTACTGCCGTTATTCACGAGGTATTTTTAGTTGCATAATTTCATATGGGTATCTCTCTATTTGTGTAGATAACCGACTTTACATATGTATATTAAAAAAAGGTTGCTAATTTCAGCTGTAATCTTGATAAATTTTGTATCCTTAGTATTTTTAGATGCATAATTTCATATGGGTATCTCTCTATTTGGGTAAATAACCTACTTTACATATGTATATTAAAAAAAGTTTGCTAATTTTCAGCTGTAATCTTGATAATCATGTGGAAGAAGTGCACATGAGGTGACGAGTGTGTACACATGCTTATATGTGAAAATTGACCGGTTTAGACTCTTATGTTACTTATAAGAATTTAATTGAAGTTGTAATTAATTGTTCTATCTTTTACTATCAAGTTTATTTTTACATGCTTTACTTGAAGTTGTTATTACATGTTCTAGTTTCCATTGTCGAGGTTACTCTTATCTGCATTTATTAGTAGTTGTTGTTACATGCTATTCTTTCCATTGTTGAGTTATCCTCACGCATTTAGTCGTAATTGCTATTTCATGCTACCTCTCTCTTTGTTGAGCTTATGTTATGTATTTGAATTTGAAGTTGATATTTCATGGAAATACCTTTATGATTGAGTTACGAAGTTGTAGATATTGAGAGCTATTGACAAGTTGTTGAAATTGTTGGTTATTGGAATACCTTTCCTTGTTGAGTTATTTCTCGTTCATTGTGTTGTTATTGAGATTCTTGTACACATTGTGGTTAATCCATGGGCTATGTGTTGTGGTGACATTCGTATTATTGATTTTGTGAATGTTGTGGCATATGGGCACGTGTGGTGTGAGTTGATTATTGTGTTTTGATATTGATATGCATGCGGTGGTATAAGGGTGGGTATTGAAATGCATGCCGTGAGATAATATGGTATTTATACGTGTGTTGCTAGTAAGGGAATTACTTGAAGCCATGCAATGAGATAAGGGGGCTAAATGTCACGACCCGGAATTCTCACCTACGGGATCGTGATGGCGCCTAACATTTCACTTGCTAGGCAAGCCAACATTAGAGTAAATCATAAGCCATTTCAATAATTCATCAATTTAAAACTCATTTAAACTTAAATGAAACTAAAATGAAGTACTAAGTGGCATAATACCCAGAATATCTAAGTGCAATTTCCTGACCTGGAGTCACAAGAACACGACTAAGGAAAGAGGAAGGGGACTTCAAGGTTTGTGGATGCTAGCAGATCTACGTCGAGTCTCCAAGTATGCCAATCTGAGTTAATGCACCTCACGTACCGCTGGGACCAGTACCAAAATCTGTACAAAAAGTACAGAGTGTAGTATGAGTACAACCGACCCAATGTACTCTGTAAGTGTTGATCCTAACCTTGACGAGGTAGTGACGAAGCTAATATAGGACACCCACGTAATTAAACCTCGATAAACAGAAATATACTTACAACATAACAACAGATAAAGTTTTAGCATGTACTATTGGGAGGAGACATGCGAAAATGGGGTACAAAACATGGCAACTATAATAGAAAATGAAAATATGAAACAGTCAATAAACCTTCAACCAATGAAAGCGGATAACATAATGAATTAAGGCTGCAAGACATCACCCCTCGTGCTTTTACTCTCAACCTCACCATGAAACAATAATAATGGCACAACATTACCCTTCGTGATTTTACTCTCAATCTCTCCATAATATGATAAATACAGTACGACATCACCCTCGTGATTTTACTTTAGTATTTTTAGATGTATAATTTCACATGGGTATCTCTCTATTTGTGTAAATAACCTACTTTACATATGTATATTATGAAAAGGTTGATAATTTCAGCTGTAATCTTGATATTTTTGTATCTTAAGTATTTTTAGATGTATAATTTCATATGGGTATCTCTCTATTTGTGTAAATAACCTACTTTACATATGTATATTAAAAAAAGGTTGCTAATTTTCAGCTGTAATCTTGATAAATTTTGTATCTTTAGTATTTTTAGATGTATAGTTTCATATGGGTATCTCTTCATTTGTGTAAATAACCTACTTTATGTAACAACTCCAAACATCACCTTTCTACGGGCAATTGATATTTGCTCGTGTTGTTTGAAAGACTTGTATATGCACTCCATTCCTACCGGAGGCTCAATGCTCGCTTACATCGGGCCAATATTTGGTGGGGGACGTGTTTCTAGCAGTATTCCTAACTCGAACCTTGAGGACAATGTTCTTTTTGAGGAGGGGAGTATTGTTGTGAACAAAGCTAATGCTGTAAAGACTTATGGGCCAAATTTGTGGAACAAGACTGATCCAGTTAGGACTATTGGGCCAGGACCTAATTTAAGAGAAAGTCCAAGGATTAAACAACCGAATAGATTATCGGGGAGTTATATTTGGGATCCAGGGGATATGCAGGGCATGCGAATACTGTTGAGAAAAATGTCTGTCCCCTCTCCTCCCCAATTCTGAGTCTAGCTTCTCATCCCCTTCTTTGGTTCTATTCTATCTTACTTAGCTTCTGCATTTTGTATTTCCATTACTGTTGTTCTACTTCGTTGAGTTGTAATTGTTAGATACTACCATCAATACAATTACAACTCAACGAAGTAGAACAACAGTAATGGAAATACAAAATGCAGAAGCTAAGTAAGATAGAATAGAACAGGGGATGAGAAGCTAGACTCAGAATTGGTGAGGAGAGGGGACAGACATTTTTCTCAACAGTATTCGCATGCCCTGCATATCCCCCTGGATCCCAAATATAACTCCCCGATAATCTATTCGGTTGTTTAATTCTTGGGATTTCTCTTAAATTAGGTCCTGGCAAAATAGTCCTAACTGGATCAGTCTTGTTCCACAAATTTGGCCCATAAGTCCTTACTGCATTAGCCTTGTTCCCAACAATACTCCCCTCCTCAAAAAGAACCTTGTCCTCAAGGTTCGAGTTAGGAACATTGCTAGCAACACGTCCCCCACCAAATATTGGCCCGATGTAAGCGAGCATTGAGCCTCCAGTAGGAATGGAGTGCATATACAAGTCTTTCAAACAACACGAGCAAATATCCATTGCGCATAGAAAGGTGATTGTTGCAGATTCTGCAATTACAAGCAAAGGCCTATCTTTTGAGATGCTTGGTTCTCCGTCTATACTCTTAGTACTGTCATGATAAGAAAGTAGATGGCTAACAAGTGATTTTGTCAAGAAGCCAAAGACCAGTGTACTAATGAGCATAAGAATAGTTGTAAGGGTAAGGGTAAGAACCTTATCTTGATAAAGAACCTGCAACATACAAATAATTTTCATTGACAAGAATATTGCTCCAATATCTGCTACCATCACAGATTCAAAATATTGTAACACCCCACCATCACCTATAGTGACAATATAAGTATACCAATTTTTTCTTCCAACAAACAAATGAATGATAAGTCCACGTAAACAAATCTTGGGGGACCAGTTGTTGGCATACACGACTTTAACTAAATGCTCATCACCATTTCTTTCTACTATTTCCACAGGCCCACGAACACTAGTTTGAATCTCGTCAAATTGTTCATAGTTCTGGAACCCAATAACAGCATGAAGCGGTGCAATATGATTCATTCCAACAAGCTCCATGTAGCAAATCTCAGTTTCACAATCAAGAGCAGTACTAAGATCATATTGTGAAACTATTGACCATATGAAGTTCTCTATCCAAATATTCAGCCAAGACTAGTGTATATTCTTCCCCTGCAATTGAAGGACATGTGGATGCAATGGAGTCATAGATAACATATAGCCCATTGGATAAGGTGGGACTACCTACAATTATGAAATAAGACCAAAAAGGTTCAACTGGAACCAATACCAGGTCATTTTCTGTTGAGTACAAGCTAAAACAAGAAAACGTTGAAGCTTCAACTTGAGAATTATCACTGTCACTTTTAAATGCCTTCAGTAATATGCCCCTAGCCTCCATGTCTTTAGGATCCAATGCACAGGCATCAAGCAAGACTTGGCACCCATCTTCATATGTCAAACTCATGCAATGATAAGAGAACACAAACAGTTCCATCTTCTTTCTTTTCTTATTCTGGTTATTCTTTTCTAAGTAATTATCAAAGAGATTAAAAATTGAAGATGTAGCAACTACCAATGCAAAATCAGACAGAAAAATTGAGAAATACATACACCATTGCCATCCCGGATCCCACACGTGAGTCATAGAGTTAGAAACCACATACTCTGAATAGAATCTTAGAGTTAAGGTCTTGGAATTTGTCCCTGGTGCCATGATAATGTGATTTCTATGAGGGCTCAACTCAATTTCCAGCTCAGTCATAGTTTGGTTGATAAGAGATTGAAGACTTGGAATTCGAGACTTGATAATATACTCCAAATGTTTCCACATGATTTTCTCAAGATGTTCTGTATCCGCCTTGTGAATGAGATGTTGTAAGATTGGGCAAAAATGCTCTAGAACCAATTCCTGTTCGATATTTGCAGCTTCCTTGATTAGGCTAGTAGCAGTCAGCTGCGGTTGAACCGCAGGCACTGAGCCTTCGACTAGCATTTTCACGTCGTTCTCTTCCTCGGACTTTCCATCTTTGAAGGCAGACTCCATTGGTGTTATAGGGAGTAAGGTAGTTATGTTTGAAAGAGAACTCCTGTTGAATACTTGGTCGTTGGTATTGCCAACATCCATGCTATGCTTACGATCGATCTCCTTTTCAAACATTTCATCGAATACCTTGCACGCTTCCATTTTGCCTCTGTAGTCAGATTGCTCTGACTCTCCAAAGCCTAATAAAATAGCCTCAAAACGACTCTGGTACTCAGACACAGTAGTTGTTTGCCGGAGCTTCGCCAATCGTCCTTCGACTGATTCTAGTCTCTTTTGACGGAAACGGATTTGCACCTTCGCAATAAAATGTTCCCAATCCACCAGCTGCTTGTTCCGGAAGAGCCATCGATACCAGTCTAAAGCTTCTCCATCGAGATAGGACGAGGCGAGAAGTAACTTGTTGTTTTCTGAAATTCTATAGAATGCAAAGTATCGTTCAGCCTGAGAAATCCAGAACTCTGGATTCTTTCCGCAGAATCGTTGGAATTCCACCGGAGTGGGTTTACTTGTTGCAAGGTTTCCAACCAACTCCTGTAACAGTGAACGAATTTCAGCCAAATCCTTAGACCATGAATCCTTCACGACCTTAATTGAATCATCAATAGTTCGAATTATTTGGTCCTTTATCGAAGACCTCTCAATGAAAGCACCAATGTAACAACTCCAAACTACAAATTGTATTGATGGTAGTATCTAACAATTACAACTCAACGAAGTAGAACAACAGTAATGGAAATACAAAATGCAGAAGCTAAGTAAGATAGAATAGAACCGAAGAAGGGGATGAGAAGCTAGACTCAGAATTGGGGAGGAGAGGGGACAAACATTTTTCTCAACAGTATTCGCATGCCCTGCATATCCCCTGGATCCCAAATATAACTCCCCGATAATCTATTCGGTTGTTTAATAATTAAGTCCTGGCCCAATAGTCCTAACTGGATCAGTCTTGTTCCACAAATTTGGCCCATAAGTCCTTACTGCATTAGCCTTGTTCACAACACTTTACACAATAATTTAAAATAAAGGTTGCTAATTTTCAGCTGTAATCTTGAGATTTTTTGTATCTCAAGTATTTTTTGATGCATAATTTCATATGTTTATCACTTTATTTGTGTAAATAACCTACTTCATACATGTATATTAAAAAGAGTAAGAATTATTCTACTGGAATTTTGATTGTTGTATCTCAAGTATTTTAGATGCATAATTTCATATGCGTATCTCTCTATTTGTGTAAGTAACCTACTTTACATATGCATGTAAAAAAGGTGAAAAGTTTCAGCTGCAATATTGATATTTGTATCTCTAATTATTTTTTGATGTTATAAATGCATATGGGTTTGTTCTATTTGTGTGTAAATTACATGCTTTATAAATGTATAATGCCATCGGTTTTTTCATACTATCATATTCTCGCGACCAAACTGCACAATGTAGCTAGTTGTGGGGAGGTGTGCTAGGATGGAGTAGCTGTGTGCAACGTCTCTTATTGGTTACATTAGTTGATTCTTTGTTCTGCTAGATTTTGTCGCTTCTATTTTAAACATCTTCCCTGAAAAGCAATTATATGTCTTAAATTTTCTCCTAACACCTTGTATCGTGATTAATCCAGGCAGCTGTGACTGATGGTTGTGATCGTACTGTAGGCAACCTGATATACACGGTAGGCTTCTAGAATTTTGACAATAAGTTGGAAAATCCAATTAAATCTTATTCCTTTCCATTACGTTGGGAGGATAAGCACTTACGAGAATGTAAAAGATGTAACGAACTTTATCCTTTGTATGATAGGTTGCTACAAAGTTTCCAGCCAATGCACTTAACCACCGGCCCACATTGCTTCAGTACATTGTATCAACAAAGGTTTGTTGTTCGCACATGTCAAAATTCATGTTAGTTTATTTGGTGCTCCATTTACGCAAGCATAGCAGTAGACCTGCGACTGCCCCTTTACTTTTGTAAATCGTCGATGTCTGTGTCTGTTTTAGGCTTATTGAGGCTTTTATGACTATTAAATTGGTTTGCCCCATCATATTTGTCTTTTACTGGACCGTTGCAGATTAAAACCCCTGCACAGTTAGAAGCGGCATTCACGTTTCTTGCTGCAACCGCCTCTGGAGATTTGAACACCCAAGAATTTGAGGAGGCTTGTGGTGTTGGTAAGAAATCCTGTTCCCGAAGTCCAATTAATATAATATTAATGACATTAGATCTCTCATGTTTGATGAATCTTTTATATTATTATTGGTGTATACTTTTTTCTTGGGGGGGGGGGGGGATTGTGTTTGGATTATTCTTTGTTAGATATAATAAAATATCTTCCTTTTAAAACAAAAATCAATATGTATTCCTATAATATTGAGCAGGAGTTGAGGTATCCAAGGATGACATTGAACGTGCTGTCAGTGAGGTTTTTGAGGAGAAGAAGGCCAATATATTAGAGCAGCGTTATAGAACAAATGGTTAGTATTGCTGCTTCTGGGACTAATCTGGTTGCTGTTTAGCTGATTGGTTAATATATGTCTGTTGGTGTGTTTATATTCAAGTAATTGAGTGCCGAGAACTCTGAATGCTAGCATTGCAGCGAACAAAAGCATAAGACACTCTCATTGACCTTTGTCATTTTATATCCTTGTACTGTTGTAGCTTCTAGATGTGATGATGTACGAAGACTGTTTAGATTAAATTCATCTTTTTTTTAATAATATGTACTTATCTTTCAGGTTTCTGTGGTTTGATTAGTCTTTTTCTAATTAAGTGCTGTTATGATACTAATACTACAAATGACCCGATTGTCTTCTTTGGCTGATTAAGGATATAATGCCTGTTTTATATTTAAGCATGAATAGAATAGGAGTTTCAACTAATAATAATTATTTCTTTGATCGAGTCACTGCCAGGACCTTAAATTGGTAGCTTAGTTGTGACCCCTAGGTGGCTCGTTTTTCCTGAGCAATTGGGTGAAATAAATTTGTTAGATCCTGATGTGATTCTATACTTTATAAAATATGAGTAGGATTGGACAGGAGGGAAGGGTTGGTCTCAAATGTATGTGCATTGGTGACCTTATTGAAATGTTGGCAACTGTAAATGTCAGTTGATCAAGGACTATATTTTTGATAAACTGGGCATGGAGGTAAGACCTCTCTTCTCTAAAGAGATAAATTCTCTTTCTAACATGCTCTCCTTATTAGTTGGTGAACTCTTTGCTCACGTTCGGAAGAAGTTGCCATGGGCTGATCCGAAAGTAGTCAAGGTAATCGCAGATGTTTCCTACGCTCTCTTTTGGGATAGATGGTTAGGCTATTATGAGCTACAATATAAAATTGCTGCTTATGAAGATTATTTATTGTCACAGGAAGTAATAGATGCGGAGCTGTATAAATTACTTGGGGAAAGAACTGCTGCAGATAATGAAAAGCCTGTAAAAAAGAAGAAAGAGAAGCCAGTGAAAGCTGAGGTGGTGCTTCTTCATCTTATGTGTTTTATCCTTTTGCTGACCACATGTGTGGAGCTTCTTCATCTAATATGTTTTGTCCTAAGCTAAGCTGAGCCTGCTTCTTCATCTTATGTAGGATAAGGCAAAAGTTGATGAGACCCCTGCACCGAAGCCGTCTGAAGAAGAATTAAATCCATATTCGATCTTCCCCCCTCCTGAGGAAAATTACAAGGTGCTTAAACTAATGTTATGTCCATTGTCATATTTATCAGTCTTAAGCTTAATACTTTGCATATTTTGCTTCACTGGGATTTCCGTGATTTAACATTTTTTACATGATTAACTACATGCCATTTAAAACTAGTGCAACAAATACACTTTGGCTGCGTGAAAACTTCCTTACAAGTTTGTAATCATATGGTGCTGGTCTGTTTATCCTCTTTTGCATCTGTGGTTATGTATGTGAAACTTTTATTTTTCTGCCATTTTGGGTCCTTAATTTTGTGTACATGGCCATATTTTTTTCTCTTCTTCCATAAGCTGGTTCCGCTTGGTTGGAAAACTTATGTAGTTGCTTCTTGGGCTAGTTTGCATATTTATGGTATTATAGGTTGGACTAAAGCAGTCTATTGCTGTCAAATTTCCCCACTTTAAATCTAATTCAGGAGAGTTTGTTCAAGATTTTTAGCTATGTTCTTCTTTTTAGTGGTATGAACATCTACTATCCTGATAATCAGGTACATACAGAAATATATTTCAGTGACAGGCCTGTGCTTCGAGCTTGCAATTCCAAGGAACTACTTGAAAAACATTTGAAAGTGACTGGACGAAAAGTTTTAACACGTTTTCCACCCGAACCTAACGGATATTTGCACATTGGACATGCAAAGGTGATGATACACAAATTTGCATATATTGTAACTGTGACTTTAATCTTGCTCTAAATCTTACTTTGATACTAAACAGGCTATGTTTGTGGACTTTGGTCTGGCAAAAGAAAGAGACGGTGGCTGTTACTTGAGGTAAGCGTTCAAATTTTGCTTCTCAATATGTGTTTTTCCTTCCTCATAATCTCATGTAAATATTACTGCAAGGATTTTGCAAAAAGTTCGGCTTTGCGCTCAATATGAAGCACTATATTACAGAAAGGGTGACTTTATTTGATGCCTAGAATACAGACTTGTGTCTCGTGAGAANGATAAAATAGAATCCTGGGTCACAAACTTTTGGATTTAGGATCAGCTCTCAGAGATCTTTTTTAATTTGGATAGATAAAATTAGGCTACTAAAACAAGAAAAGATAATGCAATTTAAAGATGTTATTGGAGTGCGAGCGAGAGGCATGGTGGAGGAAGAGTGCGAGAAGGTTGTGGTGGGAAGGAGTTAACGTTATGCTTCTGGATTAATTAGTTTGGCCTAGCAAACTCTGAAGTCTGAATTAGCTTGTCTGAACTCTGAATATAGTTCACTATGTAATCCACAAGATATTTGTCTCTCGTTAATTCTGCCCCAAAAATCAAACGCGAGTGGTGGAGATTAATTTTGTGCAATCTCATCTTCTTATTGGTCTCCCTATTCACATGGAAGCTCTAAGTTCATTTAAAGTGGAACCTCTCTTTTACATGAGGGTGCTAGATTCCTCATGACTTTGCCGTTGGATTATAGGTTTGATGATACCAACCCTGAAGCTGAGAAGAAAGAGTACATCGATCATATCAAAGAAATTGTAGGGTGGATGGGATGGGAGCCTTACAAGGTATGATGATGTTCAATATCAATGGTCTCTTTCCCGTGTTTGCAATACTAATATGTTGGCAATTTGCAGATAACTCACACTAGTGATTATTTCCAAGACCTTTATGAGCTAGCTGTAGAGCTGATAAAAAGAGGTCATGCATATGTTGACCACCAGGTAATATATCTATTATAAATAACATGTGATATGTTTAATACATAAAAATTGTTATTATTGTTTTCTCTTGATACTTGTTTTTGGTTTCTGTTTCTCCTTTTCTTGTCTTTACCTTTAAGTCTGCCCTTGCCCACCAGAGCTAACCTCTATTATGAGGGGCTTAACCGAATTTTGCTGTTATACGCTAACTAGATATCAGTATGAGATATATGGTCTGATTTTCTACGTAACACAGACAGCTGAAGAGGTAAAAGAATATCGAGAGAGAAAGATGAACAGCCCTTGGAGAGATAGGCCTATAGAAGAGTCCTTAAGATTGTTTGATGAAATGAAGAAGGGGATGATTGATGAAGGCAAGGCGACATTGAGGATGAAACAGGACATGCAGAGTGATAATTTCAATATGTATGACCTTATTGCATACCGTATCAAGGTAGGTATTTTCTGACAAAAACCATTTTGAATTCTATCTTGGTGTTTACTAACATTTAGTCCAATATTACTTGTTTCTACAGTTCACTCCTCATCCACATGCAGGGGATAAATGGTGCATCTACCCCAGTTATGATTATGCCCATTGTATTGTTGATTCTTTGGAAAATATCACTCATTCGGTACGTATGCGACTTGTTGCTGTCAAATACTGTGTTTACTTCTTCTTCACTTTGTCAAGTCAGCATGACCTATCTTGCATTTATAAGTTCCCTCTGCATATAGCTTTTCTGTTTCTATTTTCATTTTGAAGTTACTTATAATATTTAGCTGTAAATCCATTACATAGAGTATCTTTCCTGAATAAAAATGAGAAAAGAAATAAATGTTGTTCGAGTGCCTATAAAATACTGTGGTCTAACTTGCTGTGCACCCCTCTCTGTTTCCAACCATACTGTTGACAAATTGTTACGGTAAAATATTGCTGTAAATAATAGCTTAAATTAATTAATATCTCAATATCACATACTTATGCAGCTTTGCACCCTGGAGTTTGAAACCCGCCGTGCATCATATTACTGGTTACTGGATGCACTAGGCCTTTACCAGCCTTTTGTTTGGGAATACTCACGGTTGAATGTGTCCAACACTGTGATGTCAAAGCGGAAGGTAAGTTTGAATCCTGAGTGTTCCTTTTATAAAAAAATATTTATAATGGTTTCATGCTGGTAAAGTTCTTGTTTCAAACTGATTCTTGATTTTTATCGTTGCCCAGTTGAACCGTCTTGTAACAGAGAAATGGGTTGACGGCTGGGATGATCCTCGTCTCATGACATTAGCAGGGTTGCGACGTAGAGGGGTAACTTCAACAGCAATTAATGCTTTTGTTCGTGGGATTGGAATAACTAGAAGGTTGGACACTCATTTATCTAGGTGTCTGTATGTTCCCAGTACAAAGGAAAAAAAGTGTTGTGTCTTGACAACTTTCTATTTTTGGATGCAGTGACTGTAGTATGATACACCTAAGTCGCCTCGAATACCATATAAGAGAAGAACTAAATAAAACAGCTCCTAGAACAATGGTTGTGCTAAATCCCCTTAAGGTGGGTATATCTAGATTTAAACAAAGTATTCGTGGATGGACACGTGTGCTAGTATGTATTCTATTGCCAGTTTACAGAAACTTAAGTTATGAACTTCATAATCAGGTTATCATCACAAACCTTGAAGCTGGCATAGTAACGGATCTAGATGCAAAGAAATGGCCTGAAGCTCCAGTAAATGATGCTTCGTCATTTTATAAGGTGGGCATGCATTTTTTACTGTATAATAATGGATGTTTTCTACTTTTCTGTCTCCACATAATATAGCAATTCAATGTCGTTGATCCTTTAATATGTGTTTGCCATTTCTGTTCATTTTTGCAGGTCCCCTTTTCTAGAGTTGTGTACATTGAACGTACAGATTTTAGGTTAAAAGATTCTAAAGATTATTTTGGCCTTGCTCCTGGAAAATCTGTCTTACTAAGGTAGTGTCCATTAACTCATATCTTTGGTCATCCAAAAATTTGCTCGATTTCAGTTCAATACTTGGCCTTAGATGTAGTTCAAACTATAAAGCTTATTTGCATTGCAGGTATGCATACCCTATAAAATGTACAGATGTAATTCTTGCTGATGACAAAGAGACGGTTCTTGAGATTCGGGCAGAGTATGACCCGTCCAAGACGACCAAGCCTAAGGTGGGTTTTTTGACGTTAAATTCTTCTGTGTCATGGTTGGTTTAGAATTTCAGATCTATTGTTCCTGAAACAATGTCGTTGCAGGGTGTTCTTCATTGGGTTGCAGAACCTTCACCTGGGGTAGATCCACTTAAGGTGGAGGTCCGGCTATTTGACAGGCTCTTTCTCTCCGAGGTTTCTTCTTTACCTTGTCAAACTTACTTTTCACCTTTCAAAATCACAGTTATTTTGAAGCTAATTGGTGCTTGGTTTTGTGATAAGAATCCCGCCGAACTAGAAGACTGGCTTGGTGATTTGAACCCTGAGTCTAAAGTGGTGATACAAAATGCTTATGCTGTGCCCTTAGTTAGGACGGCTGCTCTTGGAGGCAGATTTCAGTTTGAAAGGCTCGGTAAGTTCTAGTACTCGTTATTTCCTTGATAGGGAGCTGAAATTTAGCTAAGATGAAAGTTTAAGTGCCTCTACTATGTTACCCCCTTCTTGAGTCGTAAAATAGGTTCCTTTACAGTATCTATTACTTCTTTGATGTTTGCTTTGGTGCCTTGAAATACTAATAGCAGCAATCCAATTCTAGCTGAAGCTTTTTTCTAAGTTACTTTATAGAGTGATAGCATGTGTATGTGAAACATGAGATTCTATTTGCTTTAACAAAATCAAATTTTAAGTCTCCGGAGCTGAAAGATGTTGGTTGCTTTGATTTTTGTTTTTCAATTCACATTTCAAATTCCGAGTTTGAAGAGTTGGTGTTTCTACCTTTTGAATTCATCATATGAAAATATAATTTGTTAAACTGCTGAAGGCCTTAGTTCCCAATGCCCTCCATTGTTCCTGATTTCCTTAATTTTCTCAAAACAGATGAATTGTAATACTTGAGTTGTTTTAAATGATGACTTTTGCAGGGTATTTTGCTGTTGACCAGGATTCCACTTCTGAGAAACTGGTCTTCAATCGGACTGTCACGCTGCGTGATAGCTATGCCAAGGGTGGAAAATGAAGCTTTTATGAAGAAATGGAAGTGAAATGGCAGTGTGTGATCGAGTGAGATTAACTAATGCATTTTTCTTGATATTTACGTGTACAAATAGACATTTTCAAGAATGAACATTTTTGGTATTCCGGGAATACACCAAGTTTAGATATGACAAAAAAGTTTTGGTAGCTCAATTTTGTTATCTCCCGTGAAGTCCTTTTTGTTTCTTTTCTGCAAAAAATTGCAGTTATGGCTTCAGATATGACATGACCAGTCTTTGGTATTCTTAGTAACCAAATCAGCGAGTAGATCCTCCTCGAGCTTTTCAGATTTTTGGGTGGCTTCTTGCTAGTCACTGTAGTTTCTTTTAGTTCTGCTTAAAGACCATCTTTGCTTTCATTCATCTGATTGTTGGTCCTAGTGTCTTTTTTTTGTTTTGGTTTAGTGATTTGGTGACCGGAGTTTGCTGGCCCGACTAATCCAGATTGTACCTCATAGGTCCATTAAGGGGAAGAGCTACCTAGTAGGAATTGCTCAGTTGGCCATGATTATGTGCAGGTCTTGTGTAATTCTGTACCCTAATGAAAGGGGGGAGGAGACATGTATTTACTTCTAAGGATGGGGACTCCATTGGTTTTGTGACTCTTTATAAACTTATTTTTAGTTTTTTGACTCTACCTCATTTTTTACACACATGAGATTTACTTTTACACGCAAGAAATCTGTCTTTTACACATAAGAGATTTAAAAAGGTCATTTTCTTAATTTTAAAATTGTGAAGGGGCATGATGTACAAATAGCACCTTAGTGTAGGGTCCATCTGTTGGTAGTAGGTTTTTATGACTACATGTTGTTTTCTTTCATTATTGATCACCTTACTATCTTGTTATTTTTATTCTGCTTTTATATAGTTTTTTGATGCTGTCCCTTATCTATATTTTCATTAATGTGGTGTTTATGCTTTCATGAGCCGAATGTCTATTGGAGACAACTTCTCTATTCTCACAAGGTAGGGGTAAGGTCTGCGTGGATACTACCCTCTCCAGAACCCTACGTTGTGGTATAATATTGGTTATGTTGTTGTAGGGTCCATGTGTAATTTTTTTTGTTTGGTGTGTGGGGGTCTTATGGACATTTAAGCTGAAGACACCCATAATTTTGGTCCTATGTGAGGGTGATAGAATTACTTTATTTACAATGGACCTACCAACATGGAAAAAGGGGTCATTTTAATCAACAGTTAAATTCTCTCAAAAGGTTTTGTACCAGAACATGAAGTCTATGGTGGTGAATGATACCTTTATCATTGTAGGGAAGTAAGTTTCAAGTTGCACCAAGAGCGTGGCCTAGCCGTTAATGAAATAGATAAAATTATTGAAGACGATAGCTTCACTTCGAGCAGAGACGAAAACACTAGATGATTTTTTTTCATTTGCTGAAGTCTTGATGGGCAAAGTTATCCGGTGCCAGTGCTTGTGTGAGTTAGCAAGTATCCCAATTGAATAGTAGCGATGCGCACAAGCTAACTAAATACCACGCTTATAAAAGGGGTGTGGGTGGGTGNTGATAATTGAATTGAAGTTTGAAAAGAGAAAAAGTATGATGCTTATAGTAAGTTCCATTTTCACATGGAAACTTAACTTGTTTGGTCACATGCTGAGATGCAACTTTTTTTAAGGATAGTTTCACTGATGTGACTATGAAAAACTTCAGTGAATTCTCAAAGAACATTTGACAGCAAATTGCTCCTAGCATAAAGCTTTTCTTGAAATTTAGTGCTCTTGTTCTTACAGTGAATTTGCCACATTATAGTAGTAACTAGTAAGTTAGTGGTCATAATCATGCTACTTGTTAGCCTTTTGTTTCTTGAATTAAGGATAAACAAGAAATGATACACAACCTAAGGCTCTATATAGTGAAAATAGCATGGACTAGAAGTGCACAGTTACCTATGTATTTACTTTTAAGCCACTGTTTAAAATGTCTTTAGTCTTTAGTCACTGCTTTAATAAACTTTACCCGCCCGGACCAAGTGTCCTTAACTTATGCGCTTGTTACTGTAAGTTTAGGACTAACTGTCCTTAATTTATGAGCTTGTAAGTCTAAGTTTAGGACTACTTGTCTTTAACTTTTGAACTTGTAACTCTAAATTCAGGACTACATGTCCTTAACTTTTGAACTTGGAACTCAAAGTTCAGGACTATCTGTCCTTAATTTCTGTGCTTTAACTCTAAGTTAAGGACTACCTGTGCTTAATTTCTTTGCTTGTAACTCTAAGTTAAGGACCAAGTGTCCTTAATTTTTGAACTTCCAACTCTAAGTTCAGGACGGAGTGCCCTTAACTTATGAGCTTGTTATTATAAGTTCAAGACTAACTGTCTTTAATTTATGAGCTTGCAAGTCTAAGTTAAGGACTACATGTCCTTAGTTTTTGACCTTGTAACTCTAAGTTCAGGACTACTTGTCCTTAATTTCTGTGCTAGTAACTCTAAGTTAAAGACTACATATCCTTAATTTCTGTGCTTGTAACTTTATGTTAAGGACCAAATCCTTTCAACAACACATGCATCAACAAGAATCAGAACTCCACCTACAGAGAGTGGGTGAATTCTCGTTCAAATACTTCCTCATATCCTCAACAAGCAACTCAAAGAACTTATGTCCAGTAACACATTCTCAAGAACTTCAACAGGAATACCATGATTAATGATCTGACCGATTCTCTACTGCATCACATATTGATTCTGCAACTTTTGGGTCATCACAATTTGAGAGATCAATAATAGGTATCGAACTTGAGAGAGAAGCGAGAGTTTGGGAAGAAAAGCAATGGAAGAAAGGGTAAAAATATCTTTTCATATTAATTTTAATAGAATAGTGGCTATTTTTGCTCAACATTAGAATTGCTGGATGAAAAATAAATACCACCTTCAATAGTGGCTACCTCACGCAATTTCTACTTTTTGGATTAGTAATTGAAAAATAGTCAGCGTTTGCAAAGTCATTGAAAAATAGCCTCTATTTGGCTGCAACACGGAAAGTTCCAGCATAATATACTGGAGATTGGTGCACCTGTATATGAACTTCCAGCATATTATGCTGGAAGTACAATATATTATGTTGGAATATTTTCCGGATTTTGAATAGTGTTTTCGTTCAGCTTTATCTTTACATAAAAAGTAGTTAAATTTCGATTACTTTTGAAACTGTGGCTATTTTTCAATTACCACTTGTAAATCTGACTATTTTTGAACTTCACCCCTCTATATCGGACTTTCATCTTTACACAAATAGCCACAAATATCCGCCCGGTTTGATTATTTACTTTTCCTAGCCGGTATACATATATCATATACTGATTATGCATAGTTATACACATATTATACATAGCTTTCATATATATTATACATTCACCGGCTATTTTTAATTTGAGTAATTGAGTGGGCTGCTATTTAGGTTAATTCTAGTAATAAATTACTTCTAATGCAATATGGACAATGCAAAGGTCCAATTGCTAGAGTATATTTAGAGCCTAGAGGTATAAGTGCCATCTTTCTTCTTTCATTTCTTGCTTTTTCCTATTTGAGAAATCAAGAACTTGCATTTCTCTGCATTCAATCATTCTTCTGCAACTGCACATTGGTATACTTTCTCATTGTGCTCTGCTTGAAAAATGATCACTTAAAGTACATCTTTATCGTCCACTCTCATCAAATCACAAGTCCCTTTTTCTTCTCCTTTTTATCCTTTTAACTTTTTTGAGGTTGTAACAATCAAATCAGTGATTGGATTTCACACAATACCTTCTAGTTGACCTTTCATTTGACAGCAGTCTTCCCTACCTCTATCAAAATATGATGGTGTAAAGCTCAAACTTTGAGATGAGTTTACTTCTTTTTTTCTTGAAAATAAAAAAACAAATTGGATGATGATAGCATTTTATCATATGATGAAAATAAAGAGGATGACTACATGGGGTTTGGTGCGATGATTGGAATCTTTCCGCCCTTAATCAAAAGTATTGCATGCGAGTTTTAAGAAACGTAAGATGGTTGGAATCTATCCAACCTTAATTTTGCATTCGAAATCTACGAATGTAAAATCTTTTATTGGTAGACATATTCAATACGAATTCAAATTAACCGATCCAGTGAAGTTCAGATATCGACCGGTACTGATAGCATTTATCATATGATGAAATAAAGAGGATAACCACATGAGGTTTGGTGCGATGATTGAAATCTCCCCACCCTTAGTCAAAAGTATTGCATGCGAGTTTTAGGAACGTAAGATTGTTAAAATCTACTCAAGTAAAATCTTTTATTGGTAGACATATTTAGTGCGAATTCAAATTAGTCGGTCCAGTAAATTTCAGATATTGTAAAAATATAAAGAGGTTGAACCCAAGGCAGAGGATGGGGGTTGGTTTTTGTGATGTGTGGGGTTGTTTGGTTGGGGGAGGGGTTGTATCACCTATAGGCCATACTCCTTTTAATATTACATACAAATACTATGAAATTTATGTTCTCTTTACATGATTAGACAACACTGGGGTCTTTTTCCTTTTCATTTCGAGCTCTCCCTTTCAGTAAGTCACTTCCTCACAGTTTCCTCATATTTGACCACAGCCTTTCGATCATTCCTTAGTTACCTTTCTGTTACTAAAGAATCATCTTCTCAATTATGAATCAACTAATGAATAAGTGTAATCTTAACCAAGAAGCTTTAATAGAAAAAGAAGGGCAGCATTAAGCTTTTACTATGCGTGGGATCCGGAGAAGGGCCGGACCACGAGTCTATCGTACGCAACCTTACCTGTATTTCTGTGCAAGAGGCTGTTTCTACGGCTCAAACCCATGACCTCCTGATCACATGGAGACAACTTTACCAATTACGTCAAGGCTTCCCTTCTTAATAAAAAAAGAATAAAATATTTAAAAACAAAACCCCTATAAAATATTAAACAAGAAATCAAGAAAAGCACCAGTTCTTAATATATGGACACAAAAACTACCCATTTGATATTTTTTTTTGTACAAAAGTATATTAGAGCTAAAAAACTACTTATGAGATTAAGTCATAGTCAGAACTCTTAAAACCTACTAAAACTATAGCATATGCATTATCAAAAGTAAATACTATTATTATGATTAGCATTTTTTAGCCCTCTTCTTTTAAGAGGGACTACAACTACATCTTCTGACTTTGAAAATTGGGACAAGTCTAACTAGATGTCTATATCTCCTAGCTTTCTGAAT